GGTCGCTTTCCATTTCGGTGGATTCAGGTGGCCGCTTGCTCGTTTGCCACCTTATGTTATAAAAAAAAAAATATTCGAAAATCTTGACCAATTCGGAACAAGGCTTACAATATCCCGCGACAAACAATAGATGGACATGATTTATTTTTTTTAAATTAGTTCTATTCTTAAAACAGAATCACGTTTTTTTTTTAAATATTACGTGATAAAATTTTCTGTTAATTTGTAAAAAAAATATTACAGCGACGGAAAATGGACGAGGAGGATCGAGTAGCGCTATCGGTCTTGGCGCGGCACAAGGTGAATTTGCTTTTATTTTACTAGTACACACAAAGATAATCATTGATCGAGATAAAATTTTTATCCACAACATTTTGTTTATATTTTTCCTTGATTTGGTCCAATTCTCAATTTGCCTATTGGTTTTATGTAACTGGTATTTATTGCAGCGACTCAGAATGGCGGTAGCGGAAGTAGTACAGCTTCCGTCTTGGACGCAGTACAAGGTGTGTGCATATTTTTGATACTAACTGCATTTCAACATATTTTGGTATAGCTAAATCTCCAATTTAGTCCATTCCCAAACGTAACAACCTGTAATATTTATTGTTATTGATATTTTAAATAAGGCTTCATTATGATCAGCTAATACTGCCCCCTGCTGGACATAGGCCATCTTCACAATGCTTATTTCCGCCTTTCATATCAAAGTCGGCGGTAAATAAAATCTAACATTTGGTAGTATAAACAATCAACCCTGAGGGTCTCTATTACTGATCAATAAGACTTCTGAGTAAGACTACAAAAAATACTTTTTATATTACAGCAACTTCAAACGGCAATCACGGCACAAGCAGTGCAACTTCTCTAGGTGCCGCCCAAGGTCATTATTTTCAATGATTCATTTATCTAAGTATGTTATACATAAAGGAAGCCAAGAAACATTTGTCAAAAAGTTATTAAAGAAAATACTATTGAAATAAGACCCGCTTTCCACAAAGTGAGAGGCCAGAGGTGCGCGTTTAGTCGCGCTATATTTTAGCTAGTTAAAATAACAAAAGTGCATCGGGAAATGCTGTTATTAATGTAGCACAAGGCATAACAATCCTTATTTAATATATTAGTAGGGTTTGAAAGACTTTTTGGATGAAAATATTATTATAGTGCTTAACTATTTATGTATTTTTTCTTAACTTCTTTCGTAGCCACTGAAAATGGTAGGGGTGGATCAAGTAGCGCGTCGACTTTGAACGCGGTTCAAGGTGAATATAGATTTAACCTATTTTACTATATTCATATACTTTTGTGTGTACTGATTATACATATGGCATCTATACTAATATTATGAGGAGGAAAGATTTGTATTTTTGTATGTATTGAAGTAACTCAAAGACTACTGGGCCGATTTTAAGTTATTTTACCGTTAGAAAGGTAATTTATCTGTGGGTATTTTTCGCGAGCAACAGCTAATCTAAAATACAAGACAGAAATATTCCATGTGTCTTTATACAAAACCCAAAAAAGTATAAAGTATATAATACAAATATGACTTTTGGAACATAAAGCTTAGTGTCATGTCTTTTTGTGATTATAATTATTCATTTCGCAGTGGTTGAAAATGGCCGTGGTCATTCTGGCAGTGCCTCGGCTATAGGTGGAGCACAGGGTATGTTTAATATCATTTTAATTCTATTTTTCTAATTTTAATAAGTATATTCTACGAGTAATATACATTTTTAATGCAATTAATAGACTAATACGATTTTTCTAACACTTGTATTAAGCTACTTATAATTTTAAACTTGTTGCAGCAATTGAGAACGGCCACAGCGGATCAGCGTCAGTTGCGAGCGGAGCAATAGGTTATTATAAATTATCTTATATTTTTTACATCGTAAATATATCTATGATTAGTTATACAAAAGATACCGTTTGTACAAGTAACTACTACTTGTATAAGAGTAGTCAATCATAATTTTGGATTACGATTTTATAAAGAATTATAATTCAAATTGTAAATATTATAGCTACTGAAAGCGGTCGAAGCGGATCCGGCAGCGCTTCTAGTATAAGCACAGCAGAGGGTAATTATAACATTTATTTTATTGCAAACAACCGAATTTAATACAACAAGCGAATCGCACTTCAGATTTTTAGCCTACATCTGGCGTACTCTCTGCTTGCATCTTAAAAGTACATTCCTAAGAAGGAACGCAGAAATATAATACTAAATCGAATAGGTTTTGATTTAGTATCATCTAGTTCATAGATCTGGTAAGTCGACAATTGATTTGTCGATAGTCGACAAAAATTATAAGGTTTTTATAGGGCTTTATTATTTTACTTGCAGGGAACCTTGTACATATTTCCAGAAAACAATACACTTAACACCGCTCACCGGTAAAACCCCTACAACAAACTACATACTTACTAAGTTTTCCAAACAAAGAGATTCAAAATTCACAATAAATTTAAATAGAATGAATTCTTACATATGTTCAATTTCTTTGTTTCCAGCACACGAAAATGGAGGAACAGGGTCGAGCAGTGCCACTACTATAAGTACAGCACAAGGTGCTTATTATTTATTTTGTTGCTAATTAATACTCTAAATATTCTTAAGTTGTACGTATCTGCTAGGCATCTGACGATTTACAACAGTTTTTTACGAATAAGTCGACAAGACCCAACGTATGTTAAAATTCATGATTAGTGACATTATTTAGACTCTGCTGTAATAGATGAAGGGAATGCAAAAGTTTAGATGGATGGATGGGTGTTTGTTAGAGATTATAGCCTAAACTGCTGAACGGATCTCGATGAAATTCGGCATATATGTAGCGCATAGTCTGGAAGAACACGTAGGCTGCTTTTATTTGTATTGTTTTATTTAATTCTAAGCAGACAGAGTCGCGGGCGAAAGCAAGTGTTATAAAATTGTTTATAATTAGTATGATTCTAACATGGGCGTCACTGGCCGATTATCTGGTATTAATGATCTTGTTAGAAATAGTTTTCATTTCTGTTTTTTTTTTTTTGCCTCATGCATTCCAAACGACTTTATGTTAAGTAAAATGTTTCAATTCTGACATTGATACAAAATATGGGTGTAAAAACTTTCCAGCGACTAGCGACGCCTTTGGAGGTTTCGGTGATCTCGGTTTTGCTCAGTCTTTTGCGCAAGGTAAGCTTTATACTCGTAAATACAATCATTAATTATTTCATTTCATTGAGTTATTTTCCACATATATCTTTATTTCTCATTCTCTATATGATATATTTTACAAGATTTGTAAAAAAATGTAATAAAACAGATTATATAAAAAATAGAGCATCACCGGCTGCGGAATCCGATGACTCGAGCAACCAGTGGTCCGGGCTACAGATACAGGAACGTCCTCACTATGCGTTTCTAAAATAACCGCCTTTTGGATCGGGCCCTTAATCCATCTGTGTAACAAGAGCTTCTTGAGATGTCGGTCGAAGCTCTTCGCTATTAGCCCGCTATTATTATTAATGGTACTTCATGAGCCAGATCTAAATATTTTTATTGAGTTTATTATTTATTTAATATTAAGTTGTTCTTAAATTTCCTTTTAAATAACTAGTATCACAAAAAATATCTGAAGATTTTTTTTTTAATTCTTCGACCTTGTCATTGTCGTCACCTCATAGAGTATGTATCTATCCTCCCAACGGGGCTCGGTGCAAACTCAAGTTCGGGATCAAAATCAACTGGGTCAGCCTGGTCGATTCTGTCATATGTGTAATAAAAAAAAAATATTGTTTCAGGCACAGCGTCTGCTAGTGGCTCATCATTTGCTTCTGCAATTTCAAGTGCACAGGCTACTGGTATAAAATCAAAGTTAAAAGTTTGTTTCGCGTTGTACTCGAGTGATAAAGAAGTATTCTTAAAGTAACAAATTAAAAGTTTATAGGGTTATGACTTACGACTTGATCAAAAATATAATGACCCTATATGGGTCGTTCGCCCGATCCCGTCGATCGTCATTTAACGAAGTAATGTCGTTTAAAGTTAGTTAACATTTTTTTTGACAATCAATATCTTCCAGCATATTGACAAATTGATTTTTATAACGAGTGCTTCTAGATAGGTCGTTCGACCTGGCCAATTAATCGACCCAATACAAAAAAATACCATTGGTTCGATCGATTGGTAAACACCCGTTATCACTAACTCAAAAATTACACGATTACCATAAAATACATTGATAACTCGACGACTAACATCCAAGGTGAATGTAACACATATACTTTTTAATTGCTATTGCCATTGTGTGAAATAAGTTATTTCTACATCTATATTCATGGAAATCCGGGGTGTTCGGTTGAACGAAAAATTGCCTTGTTAGTTGCACCGAGACAAACCACGCCTCTTCCAACAAATTACTAATTAGATAACAGTCAGTGGTGCAAACGAACGGATAATACATAATGACAAGAAACTAGCAGTGTATCACTAACTGACTTTTTTTTGAGAGACACATTTATAAGTTGCGTTGTATTAATTATTGTTTTTCGTCTCGTTTCAAAATATTCAAATGATACATAGATTTAAGGTGGAACACCGCCAGTATTCCTTGACTGTACTTAGATAAGGCAATATTTACGTATGAAAATATACTCAAACAGTGTTTTTTTCCCCAGTAACTTCTCATACAAATGGAGCAGGGAGGAGACACAAGAAAAAGCGACACCATAAAAAGAGAAAACACAAAGGATCCAAAGGTCAAGGTGGGCCTGGGGACAGTCCCGGAAGCCCACCTGGTACATCAGGGCCGGGAGGAAACAAGGGACCGACAGGACCTCCTGGGCCACCTGGTGCTCCGGGGCCTCAAGGACCGGGAGGAGGCAAAGGTCCTAGTGGAGGTCCCGGAAGCCCACCTGGTACATCAGGACCGGGAGGAAACAAAGGACCGAAAGGACCTCCAGGACCTCCAGGGCCACCTGGTGCGCCGGGGCCTAAAGGACCGAGAGGAGGCAAAGGTCCTGGTGGAGGTCCCGGAAGCCCACCTGGTACATCAGGGCCGGGAGAAAACAAGGGACCGACAGGACCTCCTGGGCCACCTGGAGCTCCGGGACCTCAAGGACCGGGAGGAAGCAAAAGTCCTGGCGGAGGCCACGGTACTCCTCCGGGTACTTCAGGTCCGGGTGGAAACAAGGGACCGACAGGACCTCCTGGGCCACCTGGGCCACCTGGACCTCCTGGTATTCCTGAAAACCCAGAGAATTGCGCTGTAACTATATACCAGCTGGGACGAATATATAGAAAGACGAAATCCCATTTCGTTTACCCAATATTCAGACGGCTTGGCAGAAAAACTTCATATGGCAGAGGTAACTTGTTTTTTAAACCTTGTTACTTATTTTAGTCGTAAGTATAATTAGTATAACTCAAAACATTTTTTAAAAATCCAAATTTTACGTGTCATTCTTTTTTTTAACTAACCTAACGTGCCTTTGTTTAAAACATAATAATTCTACTGACTTCTACATAACGTAATAATAACAGTTGATGCCTTATGTTTTCAGATGACTATGAAGATACAGACAGACAAGATGTATTTAGAAATTATTTATCCGGACAAAAATACTGCGTTTGTTATAATTAGTAAGTATAAATTGTTATCTCTATGTAAAACAAAAAGTAAATATCTAGAGTCTATTCAATTAGAGAGTACACGAATAGTTATAAAAATAACAGATTTTTAGTTCGGACGCACACCTTTGACTAAACTATCGCACAACTGTTGTGCGTTTGTCGATTGTCGATTGTTTCGCAGCCAATACAATTGTTTCGTTGCACAACTAAAAATCGCGTAGTGTGCGCACCTTCATATAAGCTTATAAGAATCAAAGCGAAACTAAACAGTTTTTCGATAGTTTAGTTTTAGGTGTCACCACACTCTTATAGAGATTATTGTAAATCAAGCTAGCGCTTTTCAAATCTAACGACGCATGAAAGCAGTTTTGAAGAAAAGAGGAGGGGGTTCATCAACCTTACTGGCATTTACAATCGTTAATTTATGCTTACAAGTGCGCAATTTCATTGGTCAATGAATCGGTCGTACAGTAGCGGGGTGCAAGAGATTGCCTATTCACGCATATTATAGCGCTCGCATGCGTTTTCATTAATCGTTAGAAATCGCATGCGCTAGACGACAGTTCCTAGTCATCAACTGAGCCCCCGCACAACGTTGCTTTACAATGACCGATCATTTGCAACAGTAGTAAGATCCTATACGGGGACTCCCGAAAGCTGTCAAACGACCAAGTTATCGACAAATGCAAGCGTTCCCTCACTAAATGATTGTTAATTTTGTTACAGGTACCTAAATATAAATGTAAAAATGTAAATGTAAATAGATATAAGTTTTTAGCTGTTAAGTCAACTCTCTCAAACAAAACCGGCGATTTTAATGGATTATGATGATGTCATTGTATTTTTTTGTATTTTTTTTATTTTAACTCATGATTAGTTAACAGAAGTTAACAATAAATAAACAAGCATGCTTTAAAAGTTGTTTCTTTTTAAAATCACAGAATCAATATCTCACTTCGTTCCTGGTGTTTAAATATTTTTGAGAATCAATATATTACACTCAATAAATTTAATGTAAAATTAAAAGCACATAATGTAAACAACAGTAGATGTGTGTATGTATAAAATTATATTGAATGGCTAAACTAAACGGTGTTTTCGCTAAGTACGAGAGATCTCACGTTAAATAGATGTTTGGTTTGACAATAAATTTAGTAAATTATTCAACTATGTAACTAAGATAAATAAATAAATTAGTAACTAGAACATTTATGATGAATGCTTGTGAGAACACTTTAGTAACGTCATCGATAAGGTTTGTATTAGACTTTTGCAGCTAACAGGCGTAAAATAGACCAATAAATCTCATATAAATTTTATCGATGGCGTTACGAATACGTTTCCACAACTGTCACTCAAATATTTGTGATAGACCCCTCAGAGTTGTAATAGCGACGACACTAGCCTTATCGACAATGAAGTTGGTACAAGTATTTACATAACAGCTTAAGTGAGACGAAAGGTAGAGTTAACTATAGTGTGGTCGATAAACCTGAAGTAATATTTAGAAAGCATCGTGCAAATAAATTGTTAAACAAAGATTCGAAACCCAAACTGATTTTTACCTAATAGTTATAAAGGAACAATAACAATCTTAGAATCATACTACTAAATGAAAGTATTGGAAAAATATCCATTAGAAAGCTATTTTATCAATGAGTAACAAACCTGGGCTATATTACATCAACGGGAAGGATATGGAGATGACAAAAAAGATATACTAAATATAAAAAGATAAACTAGTTACAAACAAAAATGCAAATAAACAAATGAAGATGGCCATCCATTTCGAGACACCATTTTCCGAATCGAGACCAAGTCGAGGCTGTAACTCAAAAGATAATAAGTGAATTGATGTCGCATGATACAAGTTCCCCATTAGAGCATCATCATCAACTTGCCCTTATCTCTATAGAGGGTCGGCCCAGTATTTGCTGCTCTTCCATCTATTTCTATCATCCGTAATATCTGAATCCACTGCATTCTTAAGCATGTCCTCCCCATTAGAGCATCGATAATTACAAAATAATATAACATCGTCACTTGTAGATAAACGTCGGTTATGAATCAAATTCACTGTATACTCAAATATGCCTGACAAATAGAATCTAATTGGATATGTCTGCCGGCCCTACACGCCCACCGTTCGATCCGGTGAGAGTATTTAAAGGATCAACGATTTAACTTTGACAGCCAATTATTAAGAACAAGATAGTACTAAAACGATCAGAGATTCTCTCAATAAATTTACGCTTTAGGGCTACATATTTTTTTTTAATGTTTGTTAACCACGATCCCACCTGAAGAAAGTGATACATGTAGATAATACGAGTACACAAGTAAAGAACATTGCATGAATAGAAAAAGAACCAAGAAAGAGATGGATGGATTGTGTAAAAGGTGACATGATCAAAAAGGGAGTGATGACTGAAATGACGTATGATAGAGTTATGTGGAGGACAAAAACCTGTTGCGCCGACACTACGGGAGTAGGATAAGGAGATGATGATGATGATGATGAAGTAAAGAACATTGCACTCTTGCCGCGGCGAACACGCCGATGTAATAAGCGATGACCTTTAAAAATTAAGCAGCTACATTTTTTATTGAAATGAGTTATTATATTTTTAGAGACTTACTAAACAGCAAATAAATTAAATACATACGAAAACTCTAATTACATTTTAGAGATAAGGTATACGAGTAGAGGTAAGATTCCAAAATGTATTTTAAGATATTTTTTTTTAGTTTGAAACGCAATAAAAAGGAAATCTTTAAAAAATTAAAAATAAGAACATTAAAATGTTCTAAAAACCTTTTACTTTGAGTGAATCAAAAACGCAAATTATTGCTTATTTTAAGTGCTTTTGACTAAACTTTGGGTTTTTACGAAAACAAAAAGTGTATATAAACTTTTTTGCGGAAAAAATTTTTTTGCGGAGTAACCATAAAAAATCATGATCACGACATTGTTATAAAAATTGATAAGTAACGTATATTGCGCTAATAGTTTTTTTTATTTAGTTATATATGTTGGTAATTGTTAATAGTTAGTTTTTCGCAAAATGTTTTCAAATCTTCTTATATTCGCGATTTATGCTACGTTACTTTTAACAATTATTAAAGCATGTAAGTTTTAAGTCTTGGTAATAACGTTATTATACGACTAGTAGAGAAGTTTCGAGATTTGTTATAATTTTAAATAATGTTCTATAATTCGAATAACATTGATTATTTTAAATCGTGTAATTGCAAACTTACGCTATAATATGAATTTAGTGATTTATATTTCTTTAACGTTTACAGATTCAGTTTCTGATGTAGGTAAGAAAAAGTGCAATTTCAAATTCTGCAAAAGAGAATTATAGGATAATAATTTTTTTATTTTTTTAGAGTATAGAGGTAAGTCTTATTTTAAAACTTAATAATAACATTATTATTTCGAGAAAAACAATTTAAATTAATCACTATTCAATTTTAAAGTGATAAATCCGACCGGTGGAGGTAAGTGAACGTGTCAGTCTATCGGAATTTCTGACAATTTCTGCTTATTTAAAGTGTTTAATACATCTATCGTACTTTCTCCATATTGTCGATGGTTTAATTGGCTACTAAATTTATAAATCATCTTCGATAATTATTCTAAAGTTTTATTTATTTAAAGGACCACCCACTTATGTCAGTAAGTACAAAATTTATTTTTCGAATGAAAGAAAAAAGCTAAGTAATCTCTACTTGATATATTTTATTTTAATTTTCTATAAAGGAACGGTTAAAAAAGAATGCGGAAACGTAAGTAAAAATACATTATTTTTTATTCAACCAATTTAAATTTGAATAAGGTTTTATAATTTTGACGTAAAATAAACGAAGTCTGAAGGCAAAATTTAGTGTAATTTGAAGAATTATAGTAAAATAGTGTATTTTTTTGTAGAACTTTAACTTCTTTAAGTATCAAGTAAGTTGTGTTTATCTTATTTTTTACAACAAATTATTAATATTATTCAGAAAGAGACTTACATAAGTAGTGACTACTAAAATAAATTTAAAACTGTAAAAAGTAAGTAAAAAATGTCATATTAATTTATTTAAAATTACCACCAGGTTTGTGAAGGGTAAGTTATTGGAATCATTTAAATGGGGAATTAATTATTTATTTGTAATTGAATGTTACCGGGATTCAATAAAGTTATAATTAATTTTAATATAATTTGCATAAGCACCGAAGTAATTTCACTTTTATATATTAATTTCAGGTAAATTAATTTTAAAGTGTTAAAAAATATGTCATTTCAACACTTAACTGGAACAAACTATTAAGATAATTTAGTTTTAATTTTAAAATAATCGAAACTACAGCTGTTTGTATCATATATGGCAATATGTAGTAAAGAAATAATTATTTTTGCAAGTATATGAAATAAATAAAACAAGCTTACTATACGCAATGTTTTATTTCACTACCAACCCATCCCATTACTTTACCAGAGACGTTTCGTTCCGCTGTATATTACGACATACCTAAAATCAATTTTGTTAACTGATTTATATGAGTTCGGTTAATACATATAACATGTCTTATTTTTTACAAAGTACAATAAAAGTTAAATACAATATTATTCTAACCTCAAAATTATTTAAAAATAGGATACATTTTGGTAGAGCATGTTTATTCTGTAGACACTCGCTGGATGACAAACTCGATTGAAATTATTGAAGTTATTATAAAAAACAT